GCCGCGACCACCCGCCAGAACCCCGCCCCCTCCCCGCTGAAGGGATCCCTGGAAGGCAGCCCCGCCCACAGCCTGTGGCGCAGCCCCGCCCACAGCCTGTGGCGCTCAGTGCTCCAGAGGCCGAGCTCGCCCCTTGCTCTCCATGCTTTGATGAAAGAAAAAAACATCTTTCCTTTGCTCCTGAACCAAACTCGGTTTTGTTCTGTTGGTTCTAGTGACCCTGGGCATGAGAACTTTTGTTGGGGCTCAAAAGGGTCAGTAACACTACGTAAATGTCTAATTTTTTAAAAGTACACAGAAAAGATGGAACTAACTCTCTGGAAATTTAGTCAAGCATCTAAGAAATTCATGGAAAGAAATTTCTTCGTACTGATTTTATATTCCTCTTTTGCTGTACCAAAATTGGATTCAAAACGGCAGACGACCTGCCTTCTGTATATTAATTAGAATAATTTTGATAAAGATATAAGTTGAACAAACTCCTGGGCTTCCCTGGTGGCGCAGTGGTTGAGAGTCCACCTGCCGATGCAGGGGACACGGGTTCGTGCCCCGGTCCAGGAAGATCCCACATGCCGCGGAGCGGCTGGGCCCGTGAGCCATGGTCGCTGAGCCTGCGCGTCCGGAGCCTGTGCTCTGCAGCGGGAGAGGCCACAACAGTGAGAGGCCCGCGTACCGCAAAAAAAAAAAAAAAAAAGTTGGACAAATTCCTACACTGAGGGCTGCCCAGCATAGACTGAAGAGAAAGTTCACTGGGGACATTAGGTTGGCTTGTGAATAGAAGGCCTTGAAAAGCTTAGATTATACACGTGCACATACACTCTCACATACACACTCTGCGTGTGTGTTTGTGGAGGTACGCACATATGCAGTCACGATTGAGAAATATTAGTGCCTTCTCCCACAATCCATGTTGCCAAAATAATGGTTATGACAACAGCGGTGCCTCTTCACCATTTGCCTGGAAGTCCTTAGCCTTCCTGGCTGAAGGCCCTACGACGCTTGGTAAGATTTAACTGGAGTAGGGCAGGCTTTCTATGGTATTTGGCCAGCCTTTGTGCACATGTCTTTTAACTTATTTGACCTATAAACACACATTCTATCGTACTTTATTATTAGTGTTGCTGGTTTATATGGTATCCTTTCTTCTAACATAAATAAAAGAAACTTATGACACATTAGAAACTTATGTGTCCTCATTTAAAAAGAAAGAGGGGAAGCTGTTTCAATGGTCTGGAAACTTCTCTGTCTTTGGTGTTTCCTTCTTTCTCATTTGCTCAGAATGCCATTTATAGAGAAATTTTGTTTAAACAGGTTATTTGCAGAAATGTTCAGCAATCCCTTCCGTGAAAAATTCCACGCTACTAGTTCTAACAGGACATGCAGATTTATGGCTCCATCCGCCCTATGCAGCTGTTATTCCCCACGTTACTCAGCATATATCCTCTCCCAGAGGCTGCTCTTTCCCTGGCTCAGTCCTCTCTCATGGTCTTGGTGTACTTCACGCTGTTTCCTCCACTCACGTGTTCTTCCCCTTCCTTTCTCTTCATCCAAATCCTTTCTATTCTTCCAACTAAAACCCCATCTCCTCTTTGAAAACTTACCAGGCCACTCCAGGTCATTCTAGTCTCCAATGTCATACTCTGAACAGTTGGTTTATTTGTTGAGAATTACTGATAAAATCTGAGGCATGGTGACATTTAAGCAAGACTAGGGTTCAGATCTGAGCGATTCTGTCTGTTGTACTATCTTTGTGCCTTTCTGTCATATCTCTGTCTCTCTCTTTTTTTTTAAAACTTGCTTTTCTTTTCTTTCTTTCTCCCTCTCTTTAAAACGTGAAGACTCATATCCTAAGCATGGATGCACTAGAAAGCCGGGCTTTGGAGGAGGGCAACCAATAGATGGCAACTAGAAAACTAAAGCACCCAGAATGGAACATATCCACTCTTTTCACACTCAAAACAAAGTAAAAACCCCAATGTCACAATCAAAAGAGAACTGCATTGGCTTCCCTGGTGGCGCAGTGTTTGACAGTCTGCCTGCCGATGCAGGGGACACGGGTTCGTGCTCCGGTCCGGGAAGATCCCACATGCCGGGGAGCGGCTTGGGCCTGTGAGCCATGGCCACTGAGCCTGAGCGTCCGGAGCCTGTGCTCCGCCACGGGAGAGGCCACAACAGTGAGAGGCCCGCGTACAAAAAAAAAAAAAAAAAGAGAGAACTGCATTTATGAACAGGACAATTCCCAAAGGGTTGGCATGTTACAATCCCCCAAAAAACTATTTTAGTCAGTTTATCAAGGAAAATAATGACATGGTATAAAATAAAATAATTGGAAAAAATATACAGTATTGAGGTAGGAAGGTGATAAGAAATATAAATTTGGGAGGTGAGAAATTTAGAAACAATAAAGGCTATCTGAAGTTAGGAAGGAGAGAGAAAAACAGTGCTTGCTTAAGTCTGAAGGGAGGCAAGTTCAATAGAAGCATTCACCTTTTGCCTAGAAGAAACACTTTTTTTTTATAAAAGCTGAGACAAAGCCACAATGTGCCCACCTATAGCCACACACTGGGTTAGGAGGGAAGGTATCAAGAGCACATTTTAAAGGATGTATTCAGGGATGTTGTTTCACTAAGGGTCCCATATTTGCAAAATTGTTTTCCCAATTAACCTGCTAAATCTGAAGGAGAATGCACAGAAAGTATGGAGATGTAAAAGAACCCAGGAGAGGGACTTTCCTGGTGGTCCAGTGGTGAAGACTCCGTACTCCCAATGCAGAGGGCCCGGGTTCCATCCCTGGTCACATGCCGCAACAAAGATCCCACACGTGGCAACGAAGAGCCTACTCAGCCAAATAAGTAAATAAATAAATATTAAAAAAAAAAAAAAGAACCCAGGAAAAAGAAATCCCTTTCCAAGCACATCACACAAATCTAAATGATCTAAGATTCTTGAATTTATTTCTCTGACTCGTTTTCCTCCCATCTTCTTACTCTCTCAAAATCAATATGAAAAAGGCACACAGAGGTCTTCTAAGACTCCCTTTACATTTAGTGGTTAGTGGTAACTTATGACTATGTTTTTAACTTTCTTTGGTTGGGTCATTGACTCTCCTCTTCCCCCATTCAGTTTCCAGGGTCACTGGGTGACCTTTCACAAATCACGAGACTGGATTTGCTTTGCTTTGTCTTGATCCAGCTTCTCCATTATCTCTTCTGTTGTGTACTACACAGTTTTGTAGACACACCAGATAAAGTAGAGAAACAAAACCAGGAGATTATTCCCAGACTGTTTGCCAACTGATTTTAAACTGTTGCTCACTGCTGGTACACAAAACAAGGAGTAGACTTTTATTCCTGAGTCTTTTAGACTAGAAATGGGAGGGGGGTGGTTAATTTCTGGTTTTGTCAAACTCCTTTGTTCCTTCTTTGTCTCAGTTTCCTAATTTGTTTAATAGTGCTGTTCATAGTTTTGTTTTCTTTACTAATTCTAATGCAAAATGCCTTGGGTATTTCCCCACCATTCCATCATAACAAAAAGAGGAGCAGGAAGGATATAGTATAATCATTTATAATCATCTAGATCTTGCTTCCAGAATTTCTTAGTCTTCAATTGTAGTGTCTCAAGAAATCTCTGACACTATGCCAGTTCACATAGTCAACTATGTGAGAGTCAACCTCACAGAGTTGATCCCTGAACCAGGGAGGCCCAGGGAGTTTAAATAAGCTGCTGCAAGTCACATGGCTAGCTAGGATCAGTACGCACCAGGACTGGAACCTAACTCTTACTGTTATCTTCAATTGAACATTTAATTCATTTTCACTCGATTTTCAGAATGCCTAAGCCGACTCCTGGTTTAGGCTGGGTTTCTACCTCAGTCCAGTATGACTCTTGGAAATATATAATCTGAAAGATTTTGAGATCTTGGGATGTTTTGCAGGGAATTGTGGTCTGATTCTATGGAGGGTCTGAGAGACCTAACCCCCTCCTTGAGCATGGCCAAATTCCCCAGAAACTCAGATTCAACCTACTTTCTTCATGCTTGACTCAGGGCAGAGCTGCCGCAGCTGAAACATTCTAGAGCGCACCCACATCTCTGGTTGAATCAGGACACAGCCGAGTGGAAGAAGGGTTCAAGATCAACCATTTGTCCAAAGGGCCATCTGTTGACACAGTCATTAACCCAGTAACACTGCAGGCCATTAGCCTCTCTTGAATTAGGTGAAAGCGAAATCTCTTCAAAACATAATATTGCTTTACCCATAATTTTTTTTAAATTTTGGACAAAGCTACTAAAGATTCATCATCGAATATGAATCGCAAATCAATCTCGTGTGCTTGTGGATTTTGTCCAAGTCTACACGGGAGGGGAACATTCTGTTTTAGAAATGTGAGATGTATGAAATGCAAATCTGCCTAGAAACTTCCTCCCAACTGCTCTGGGACTAGGCAGGGCAGCCGTTGACCGTGCGATGGCGGGGGCCGGGGGAAGAAAGACAAGGCCAGTCTGAGTCAGGTAACGCCCTTGGGTGAGGTCGGATCACAAGTCACAAGGATAGAGAGCATTAAACATTTCTGTGCTCCACCGAGTCGGTTCCATAATAAAGTTAGAAAATGGAAATGTGGAGGCCCCCAAATTCCACGGCCTTTAGGTTCTCGGTGCGGGCAGCTGGCAGGGAAGGGTCCGCCTGGCGCTGCCGGAGGTTAACCCATTATCCGCGGCAGACCGGTAAAGTTCACCCGATTTTGCTACACAGCTGCAACATTGTGCACAGAGGTAAACTGGTTGGAAGCTAATTTAAAACTGCAAAATCCAGGCCCGCACGCAGGAGCGCCCTTCCCGGTTACATCTCTCCTCCGACCCGGGGAGAGAGCAGGGTCTGACTCGGCTCGGATCTGCACATCGGGTCCGCCCGCAGGACCCCACCCCGCCCTCCTCCGGCCCCGCCCCCCGCACACCACCCCCGTCCACCCTCCTCGGGCCCCGCCCCCGGCGGAAAGCGAACGGTCTTGGTCTTCGTCCGGGAGCTGCGAGGCTGCAGGGCTGGTGCTGCAGTATCCTGCGCCACCGCCACTTAGCCGTGCTCGGAGCCCGGCCGAGGAAGCTGCAGTCGCAGCCAGGAGCCCGCAGCCCGCGTCTCGAGCCCACCGCCGCCCTCCGAGGGCGCCCCAGACCGCGCCATGGTGAAGGTGACGTTCAACTCGGCTCTGGCCCAGAAGGAGGCCAAGAAGGGCGAGCCCAAGAGCAGCGAGGAGGCGCTCATCATCCCCCACAACGCGGTCGCCGTGGACTGCAAGGTCCGAGGGCCAGGGGGTCGGAGGAGTGGGCGCTGGGCCCGCGGGAGAGCTGCGAGGGGCCGGTGCTGTTCTGCGCCCGAAGCGGCGCGGGGCGCGGGACAGAGTCCCCGAGAGGGCCGAGCTCTCCTTTTTCTCGGGCCGCTCCCCTTGCTTGTCCGGCTCAGCTTCTTTGTAAGAAAGTGCGTGTGCGGAAAGCGGCGCCTGACGCGGGATAGGGAGCTTGGGAGGCCTGCGGGGAGGAGGATTGGAGAACGGTGCCGAGTGCACGGTCGTTGGTGCAGTCCGGGAATGTGCCCGGGGCCAGGACTGGGTTCCGTCGATCTGGAGACCGGCGGCGGCACGCAAAACAACAAAAACAACAGCGGAGTTTGGCACTTCCTCCCAGTATAATGTGCCTAAAATGGCTGACATCATTACAAGCCTACACCTCTGTAGCTTCCTACTTTCGTTTCTAGGCTGAACAGTCCTTGCACTAAGTCCGGCTACTGTAAAAGCCTGTTAATTTTAAAAGCATTTTCTTCTTTACCTCCTCTTTTTCCACGGCCCTTCGGTATTGGCAGGTGAACTTCACCGTGGGGTCTGGGGAGGGAGAGGGGGGCGAGGGAGCGGGCGAGAGGAGAAAGCAAGGTGACGGTCTGCTCAGAGTAGGTTCTGGCTGTTAATTTTGTTATTAAAACGATTATTCCTGGTAAAGATCGCTAATTACTATGTGGATGTCTGTGTAAAACCGACAATTGACTTTTAAATGATATCAGTATCTTTACGAGAGTCCCTTACACTAAGTGAAACTAAACGTAACAAACTTGTCTTACGTCCCTTGTAAAATTGTCCTTTATTTTACAAAATCCCCCTTTTAGCCCTAAGCAAAAAATCAGGAGAGGGACCATGATTGTGCTAAGTTTTAGTGGTTTACAATAATTCTCATTTAAGGTATGATTATAATTGTCTCAGAAGTTGAATAAAAAGGAAAGAGTCACAGCCTCTTTCTAGGAGATCTTTTTCAGGCTGCAAAATTTTAATCCTGTAGAAATCAATTGTATAAGTTATTTATGTTGCGTAATTTTTAATTTTTTCGTTAGCATTTTTCAAGACCTATTATAAGTAGGGTAAACTTAGTTCTAACTTTAAAAAAACTAATAATTTGTGCAAGTATGAGTAATAATCGTTGTTTTTTATATGATCTAATGGAAATTACTACTACTGGAAAACACACTGTAAAAAATGTTTGAAAATACAACGTTAATCTGGATGTGCCTGTACTTATTTTTTGGAAATGTTCTAGTTAAAAACAAACGTCAGGGGTTGACTTTTAAATTACTGTCTTGCCTTGAAATAGGAAGTGGACTGATTCCCTAAAAGGAATTAGAGTTTTGGTATTGGTATTGTTTTCCTGAATCCGTTGTAAACCGTCTTGATCTTAAGAGAAAATGTTTGGAATCCACAGAGGGTAATTCCAGCAGCAAATTATTATCTTAGCTCTATGTTTATCTAACATTCATTGTACCTAAAATAAGTTGATAGTCAAGTACTCAGTCATAACAGACTGAAATACGTAGATAGAGATTAGATAGATTTTAATCCTATTATTTGTCTTTTTAAAAATCGTATGAACAAATATAACTCCTCCTATTAAAAAAGAGAGAGGGAGAAAGGATTGGATGATGTCACTTCAGATGGCTTTTCCCTGTTCCTGTAGTGAAAGAGATGTGAAACTCTGGACAAAAATCAGAAATAATTTGCTGGGCAGCTTTAAATCTGACTTTTGGCATTTACTGTCATTTCTGAAATGGTGACCCTGTTTTCAGATTCTCAGAATTTCTCACAATTTCACCGTATTCAAATATTATGGTCATAGCAGCAGGAAAAAAAGTAACCATTCATAGCTCTGTGCTATGTTTTCTGTTTCTGTTTTCTCAGATCCCCATAGCCAAAGAAAAATACTGGAACAAAGCTGTGAGGGCCAGTCTTCCTTTGTAACCACATAGCAGTCATGGATGAATTGGCAGATACAAAATGACATTCTTTTTCTAGCTATAAGCTCAAAGACTTCTTAAGTGAGTGACAAAATACTGCTCTACATTAAAACTAGAATCCTTATAATCAGTCACTTAACAGTAAATGAAAACCTTACTTAATAACAGACATTTGTGGAAGATCTCTTAGAGCTGGGTCAGTGATTCCTTAATGTTCTCTGGCTCCTTGGGGTGACTGTGCTGGGGAACTACTGAGTTTGACTCCCTGGATTCTGCACAGAATCAGCCTTCCTGTGTTTGCCTGGGGCATTTCCTTGCCTGGTTGGTGGAGAGGATCCAGTTTAGCTAGTTAATGGGCCAGAACCCCTGAACAAGAATTTTGAGTATCTTTAACTCTCCTAGACCATGATATCCCGAAAACCATTGTTTCTCAAAATGTACTCTTAAGGGTCACCTGATATCATCTGGGATTCTGGTTTAAAAATGCAGATTCTTCAGACCTTATGCTGGAAGAATTCTTACCACTCCAGTCAGCTGGCTTATGTAACACGCATTCCAGTACTTTTACGCTGCTCCTGTCCTTTGCTATTTCTTTATCTCTCTTCTCACTGCTGGGTGAGGACCCTCTGGAAACAGCTCCATTGTCCCATTTTTCAGTCTTGTCTTTTCAGTAGCTATTAATCCCAACAGCCATGTCTATTGATTATATTACCTCAACTAGCTTGCTATTTATTATTCTTGCCCTACATTTTCCCCTATGTTTTGTGTAATAGAGGTGAATTTGAAATTATATGCATGTTTTATGTTAGAGGCAGCAATTCATTCATGAATGTTTGTGTTTCTACTTTGAACTTTGGAAAATTGTTATATATATGTAAATATCAAAGAAAATACTTAACGTCCTGAGTTGGAAGTCCCAGTTTTGTCATTACACAACTACTTGATCTTGGACTTAAGTTTTTAGATTTCTTTATGTGTAAGATGACAGGGTAGGAGCAGATGGTCTGTAAAGGACTCTTCCAGTTTTAAAATTCTATGAAAATGCTAGAATTACATAATTATATTTGGCAGGAATCAAATTGTTTTAACTGTGAAAAAAAATAACTACCTCCTCACCCTAATCAGACTGTTCCCTTTGTTCCTCCCCATGTTCAGCATGTTACATTCCTTCCTTATATTAAGTAGCCATGGGTCACAGAGAAAGGAGATAGATAGAGGTATTATGTAATACGCTCAATTTTCATTTTGGGTTACCTCACTGTAGAACAGTAGTTGTCAATAACAACTTCTGTTGTATGCCTAATTAGGAAATGCCTTTCCCGATCTCGGGCGTCGAAGAAGCTCAAGTTTCCTTCATAGGTATCCGTGCAAGTTGTTTTGCTGATAAATAGTGTTGCCTCTTCTCTGCTGTGCATCGTAGTTGTAGTTGCAGACCTCCTTAAAAGGAAAAGTAAAATGCTCGTGGAGCGGAAAAGATGGGGCAGGATGGAAGCATAAGTGAAGGACTGCTAACCCAGTAAGTTCTGAGTTACCCATCACAAAATGGCTACTTGGATCCTAATTCTTCACACTTTCTGGCATTTCTGTTTGCATAAACAGGACTGGTAATTTTGCCTTTTGGTGGTGTTGGTGTTCATTGTATTTTCTGGTTTTGGGGAGGTAGAGGGGAGAAGGAACATAAAATATGATGACATTTACTGAAATGTTTTGATGTTTACAGAAGGGATGGGGAGCTTGGTTCCCTTTAACAAAAGTGCGTATGATTACCTAGTTGTGTAACTTAGGTGTCTGTAAACATTGGCCAGCAAACACTTTACAGTCACTGCATTTTAGTTCTTCATGAGGATATTGATGTCTGAAGTGAAGGATTAGTTCTGGGAGACAAATTAATTGCCCCTGTGCCTACCAAGTGACTTGACAGGACCTCCTATGTACACACGCCTCACGGGCTGCTGCAGCTGCAGAGGGTGGACAAAATTGCATGTCGTGCAGTTGGAGGTTACCTGCTTGGGGTCTTCCCAGTGTCATCTTAAACTTATTTTCTCCGGACTAGATAGAAGCAAGTATATTATCCTTGGCAAAATTATAAACCTGTAAGACGTTATGGAATATCAGCTCTGCCATATAAGAGGTTTAAGTGAATGGAAGTATTATTTTAATCAGAAATATCTCTTGAAACACATGGTACAGGCCTATTTAAATTGATTTAGAATTTAACTTTAGAAGTTTTCATTATGTATTGCTAAGGCTTGATGTAAGGTGGGACATTTTATTTATTTGTTCTCATACCATAACTTAAATATCTGGAGTGTCTACTTGAAAGTCATTTTCTTTTTTCCAAAAGGAAAATACTTTCTGAATTCATGGTATAACTAAAACTTCTTGGACTCCTTTGTATGTCATAGTGTCAGTAGAGGAAGAGCCAGAAAAATTTGTGTCTTTTCAAAATGACATCAGTGAATGCATCCTCTTAAACTTTTCGGTAAACTTGTCATTTTTTATTAGAGCTTAGACTAAAGGAGTTAAGGACTTTACCATCAAAGGACTTTTCAGGCCATAACTGCTGCCTGTTAAAATAAAGGATTTGACAGCACGTGGTGGTTTTTGTCAAAATGCTGTAGAAAGTAGCAACACTGGAGCTATGTTTTCAAGAAGCTTATGCGTAGAGTTATTTCCTTGGCTCTCATTTTCTTGCACAGAGCTTAACAATGAAAGTTTTATAGGGTAGGCAACTGAAAGTTGAAAGTTAGAAATTTTATTGTAGATATGACACTAAGAACATCATTAAAAAATCATTTAATTGTGATTATCCCTTTTAATCAGTATTTATGATACGTGTACTTAATAGCTTTAAAGAAATCTACAGTATAATCCTCTATTTTATGTGTTACCAACAGTTGAACAAAATTGTTTTTAAACAATTGAAGTTTTTTTTGAGCTCTTTAATTGATTAGAGGAAAAGAAAGAATGAAGTATTTTTATAATTCTGCCATTTTGGGGAAAAGCAAGTAAGAATAACATAGACTT